TTTCAAGATGGCTGGCCAGTCTCCGTGCAAAGTGCTCCCGCAGGTCACTGAATCGATGCTGCTGTTGCTGGACCGCATGGAGCATGTCATGCCCTTGAATCAGAAGAGTGAAATAAATTACGAGGATCTGTGAAAACAGAAAGAACTACAAAGCAACCAGAATGCTCTGAGTACTAAAAAAGTCGGCAGCTGCTCCCCCCTTACCGATAATCTTACCTGGCTGAAGAGCTACATTCATACACTGCAATAAAGCATCTGCCGCATTAGTGCAGGCCTCAATGCCCCGAGACGATGAGAGATCTCCTTCCTGGAGGGCCTTGATGTGACCTTTTGCCAAATCCATATGGTTCTGTGAAAACAAATATTTCCTTTTAAAAGCTCTCTTTTAAAAGCCCTACAGGGGGGGGGGAAGAATAATTTTTGAGACAAATTTAGAAGAGCAGAAATTTTAATCTGTGATTCTGGAAATCGATTTTCATGTTAGTATTTTATGTGAATAAATGAGTAGAATACTGCACCTCTTGGATGAAGAACAGGCAATAAGAACTAGGCTGCATTCAGACATCAGAAACCCATTCAAGTTTGTTCCTTCCCACATGCTTGGAGCCAAAACAGAGGACTCAGGGGACTAATGGGTCCAGATTCTCTAATTGGATGTGAGAGCATAGTATCTCATTACACCCCAGTTCTGGTGTACTTTTAATAGATATTTATTTCATTGCTCTTCAAACTGTCTGGATGGGGCAGGCTACAGGTGTGAATGAACAGGTGAAATCTGTTAGTACTCACAACGAGGAACTCTATCTCAGACAGCAGCTTCAGGTTGTTAGTGTTGCTAAGATGAATGAGATGGTTGCTTTCTGAGATCTGGTCCATCTGTTCTTTCACGCTCTGCAACATTTCCTCGTAACTGCTCAATTTCACTTCAATTTGGTCCACTTCTTTCAGCGCCTCATCAAGAAGTTTCATTAGGATGTTAACCTGTTTCTCGGAGGCCATAATCGATTGAATGTTTGCCTAAAAAGCAAAATGTATAATCAACCAAAGGTTAAAACACTGCATTAAAAAAAATCCCTTTTCAACCTTTATTCCTGATTTTATTCTAGAAAAATCTGAAGATGGGGAGTAATAGTGCAGTATTAATGCCACCATTTTGGAACACCACTGATTCGGTTTTTTTAAAAAAAATGGGGGGAAATGCTTCTATATAATCATTATACTTGCTGCTTGTGTAGTAGCGATAGTGCTAAATTTCAGAAGTGAAGGGGTTTCAGAAACAAACTGCCCCAATTCAGAATCCCCAAACTAATTATGCAATGAGTCCCAGACCCTCAACCACACACTACTTAAAAGAGAATTCTTTCAGAACCCCTTGAGAAATACAGCAAACTTATTCCTATTTAGAAAAAGCTCCTTACCCCATCTAGCACTTGAAGCTCCCTGGACAGCTTATCAGCAAAGGCTTCAGCATTAGAAATGGCATATTCACAGCCTTCCATCATTATTTCAATGTCCTGTTCCTCTCTTGCATTTAACTCTTGATATTCATCCACCACCTCTTCATCTCCCCCAGCCACATTCTGATTCTCTCCACTTGGAACAGATTCTTGAGCAAGGGGGGGGAAAACAATTAGGAAACGGGCACGGTGAGACCAAATTCGTGTAGGTCATAGACCAACTGGTGAGTCAATTGTATCAAAATAAATCTGTATGGGTTGTTGTAAGGCTCATGAGACATCTTTGTATTATCTTACATTGTTATGTTTTGAACAATGCAGGCCCATAATTCTGAACTGACAGAACAATGGGAAATTACAAATGCTGAACAGTCAAGGCCATAACTATGTTATTATGCCTGGAATTTTACACCAGTGGCTAGTGGACTGGCTCTTGTGGATCTGTTATGCTAACGAAAACCCTTGCTGCTAGTGCTAGACCACCAAAGGCCAGGTGATGCTGGCCCAGGCAAAAGAGGCAGTGATTGGATACAGAGCCACCACCTGACCCCTGTGCCTGCTCTGAGACACTGATGTGTTCTTCCTCCATTCCTCGGTGTTGGTGTTACTGATTAGATTTCATGCATTAATGAAAAGGTGCTACCTGGCTTAGAAAAAGGCTAGCATAATGGGAAGAGAGCTGATAGGGTAGCGACTGCTGTTTTAATAACAACAATACTAGCACGTATTATGTTATTGTTAATTGGTTTTAGCACTGTTTCAAATGTTTTAATTGTTTTATTGTAATCATGCACCGATTTTATGTAAGCCGCCCCGAGCCGGCTTCAGCTGGGAGGGCGGGGTAGAAATTTGAGGGATGAATAAATAAATAAACACATAAATAAAATACAGAGAATTCCACCAACGCACAAGGCTCTTCCACAACAGATGAGTTTCCTGTATTTGTGGAAAGCTCCATATGCAATTAGCCAAACAGATTTTTAGAATCCAATGCACTGCATTTGGGGATCCCAGTTTTGCATAATAGATAGCCAGCAATATTACCCTCCCTGTGAGATTTCTTTTCTAACATTTAAAGGTTAGGAAGAAGGAATGCAGATAGAGTTCTTGAAGACATTTTTATTTTATGGATGCTTTGAAAAGTTCTACAAAAGGAGTTTCCTTCCCCTCTCATCTTCCCTGCCCTTACAACATCTTAATTGAGCTCCGAAAAGGGGTTTTGTGGTTCTTTTTCTATTAAGGTCCCACTCCCCTTGGATAATCAACTGAATATTCATCAGTCAGTTTAACCTAATAAAGTTGAATTTTATCAGAATAGTATATGCAAAAATTAGCACTACTTTTACCATATTACTAACATATTAAAAGAGCAATATGATTCCTGAAGAAAGCAAAACATTCAGAAGACATTCTAATGCAGCCTATATACACATTTCACATGTTTAAAGCTGTCTGTAAATTACCTCATCAATTCCCATTTCATCATTGCAAGTATGGTCCAAGCAAGATTTCTCCTACAGAACTATTTAATCCATAGTTCTCCAGATACCTTGTTATTTTAACAGGTAAACAAACAGCCCTACTGCTATACCCCGTGTCAGTTTTAAAAAAACAGCGACAAAGAACCTATTTCTCACTGAGGAGGTAAACTTCTGACTTGGGCGGGTTTATTCCACTACTCCACTGCGGGTTTATTCTGCTTTATTTCTATTCTATTATTTTAAGTTTCAGTGAGCAATCCTCTCTGCACCAGCATTTCTTAACATCAGAGTTAGCTCAATCAATCGCAAAGAGTCCCAGTGAACAAAAAGAACACAACAACGCTGAAGAAAGTCAGATATAGGTGATGAAGTTTTTTCCACTGAACTCTTGAACTGCTTCCCTATTCCAATATTTCAGATCCTTTGTTACAAAGTGACTTTTTTCAGTCAGCTTTAAGAAGCTCTTCTCCACAGCTTCACTCAGGCAGACAAACTCTCAACTTCAACTCTCTTAAAAGCTGTTTTCAACTGCCCCCCACCACAACATTCCATCAGCTCTCATTGGTCACTGGTACCTAAACTTGTCTGTCACAATGCTTAAGTTAACCTAAAATGAAATCACAAAACCTGGAATTAATAAGCTTAAGATAGGCTAACTGCACAATCAGGTAAGTACAGATTTCAATGACTGTCAAGATAATTATAAGAAACACCCCTTCATAATAACTTAGTTAAGAAAAGCTAAAAGTAATGTAGACTAATTACTCTGGAATAATATTTAATGCATACCAAATCTTTCAATTTAAATGCTTTCAGCATCAAGATATTTTAAAATAAACATGTTGAAAATGATCTGATTTCAAAAGTTTCAAATACAGTGTTGCACTTGGCACACTCCAAAATGTTAATCTGGAAATTAAAAAATGTATGTCTGAAGTTCAAGAACCATACTAAAAATTTAGACTGATCCATAACAATAGCCACCCACATTTTAAACATTTTAAACAGCTTAACTTCTCCTTCTAGCATGAAGATCTCCAAAGAACTACTGATTTAAAAACTCTTTAAATAATATTTTCAATATTATCCCTAACTCACCTACCTAGAAAAATAGACAATTTTAACAAAAGAAAAAAACAACTGAGTTAGTCATATAGAAGAGAAGAACAAAGGAAGGAAAAAGGTGTTACGCACCTTCTGCAACTTTAGGCAGTTCTGGAGAGTTAAAAGGTATAAGAGAAGCAGAAGAAAGGAAGCAAAGAATATTAGCTAAGCAGAGAATGAACACAGTTTTTTTTTAATGGCAACAAGTTTTGAAAGTTACAGTCTCGGGGCTTGAAAAACTGAGAATTTTTAAGATTACCACAAACCCCAAAATCATATCTATACATGCACAATGCTTGGGAGACTGCAAGAATTGAACTTAGTCAATTACTATATTACAGACATGCCAGCATGCAAGTTTATAATTACTATTACAAACAAACTGCAAGTTCCCTCAATAGTCTGAACATACATTCAGTGGTTATTCTGAGAATTAACCTGACAAAAGACACAGCAGATTTATCGGACAACCCTTTATTTACTCAAATTTAAAATTAAGTGTTATGTAGGCTCTTTCTCTGCAAAAGAAGTCAAGCCACCTAGAACTATGGAATGTCCTTAATGGCATTTCATAAAACACGGCAGCATTTTCAAGAATCACTGATTTCAACGGTACTTCCAGCCAAGCAAATGCATGAATCATTAATTTCACTCACATAAGCAGGGCTCCTCCTCCTCCTCCAACTAAGGAGCTATGTTCCTAGAGAATCCTACCCACACCAAGCCCAAATACGAATGACGCTAACTACTGCTTCACAACACTGCTGCTTGTTTCTTGCTTTGGGGGATCGAGAACAGAAAAACTCTCTCAATCATTTCAATTATCAGCTTGCTTGGGGCTCAGTGCAAAGCATGGATTAGTTCCTTTACAAACCCTAAATGCCCTCGGCTCTCTAAGAACCTTCCTCCCTACATCAAGTACGCAACGCACACCCCCTTTCACGCTTTGCTGTTTGAGTTCCAACAGTACCTGGAGTTTGATTGGCTGCTGTGCAGGGCAGGCATGTTTCCATTTTGGAGAGGACGAATTTTCAGAACTCCCCCCACCCTCAAGGAGATCACTCAATGCTTCCTCCTCCTTTTCCTTCACGAGGAACCATTTTGCCAAGCATTTTTATGAGCTGTTCTGGCAACTGTGATCAATTGTAGTATTGGGCAATGAATTCATGATATCATTTTAATGATTCATTAGACTTTTTATGAGAGCCAGTGTGAAATGATGGACAGAGTGCTGGACATGGGCCATGGAATCCTACCCTGACATCTCTACTCAGCCACGAGTCACTGGGTGACCCTGGGCCAGCCACTATCTTTCAGACTAACCTACCGCACACAATTGTTGTGAAGGAGAAAAAGGTAAAGTGTGAGTGAGCCATGGTGTGGCCGTGTCAGTGAAGGTCAAGTAAAGAACTGTAAAGAACTGAGGGGAACATTTGACCCAGTGTTGAATCAGCACTGCTATCCATGTTTTCAGTTGAAGTCTCCAAAAGTGTGCATTCCTTGCCTCAAAAGGCAAACTAATCTTTAACACAGATCCTGTTTCCTTACATTATAGCAGTCCGCAGTTCTTGTTGCACTTGCAGCATACTATAAGGCAGGGCTATTTTTGGGCAGGAACGCACAGGAACGGAGTTCCGGCTGGCTCCCGAGTGGGCCACGCCCAGCAGGAGCTCATTAGCATAATAGGCACCACCCAACAGCAGAAACTCATTAGGATTGGCTACATTAGGGGTGTGTGGCCTAACATGCAAAGGAGTCCCTGCTACAAAAAAAGGCCCTGGGTTTTGACAACAAACAAGGTAAACAGAATAAGAAGCAAAAGGTCGGTGTGGCTGGATGGCCACACTTCTGGTAACATGGAGGTGCAGCCTAATATGCAAATGAGCTGTGCTGTCGGGTGTGTGGCCTAATATGCTAATATGTTTCTGCTGTTGGGTGTGGCCTATTATGCTAAAGAGTTGCTGCTGGTCTTTTTCTACAAAAAAAGCCCTGCTATAAGGTAGTAATATTCTTAAAAATTTGATAGAAAGGAAGTATGGATTGCTTTTCTATTGATTTAGATTTGGTGCAGTATTCAGTTGTCATTGTGCAATTGGTGTAAAAGTTCTGCAAGATCCTGATGTCAGTTTGCCTATATATGTTTATGCTTTTGTCTGTAAACGTATCGGTGTCTCGAGCTTTTGTGGGGGTAGATACTTTCCTTGAACATGGTGAATTGAATAAGGAATTTGCTTGTACTAAACACAGTTTTACCTATTTGAACCCCTTTGATTGAATGGCAAAATGGCAAAATTATTATTATTACCACTCCTACCACACTGCCTTAAGGCTCTTGGAAGACAGGCCAGTAGAAATGTAATAAAAATTTCTGCAACCCATCTGAAGCTTCTGCTTTAAAATTAACAAATAAAAAAAAGCAGCAGGCAATGGCTCTAACACAATGATTACGTAAATGCCCCCACTGAAATCACCCCAGTGTGTTTAGGACGAGGGTACAAGATGTACGACAGTTCAAAAATAAGTCTCGCTTACTGTTAGGGTTATTCTCATGCAGGCATTCAAGAATAAAGAAGATTTTTTAAAAAACTTATTCTGTGGGCTGAAGTAATTTTTCAACCATAATGTACACCATGAAAAAAAATCAGTCTAAACATTTTACCTTCCAAAAGCTGAGAACTAACATTTATGAAGTCAATCTTCTTTCTAAGATAACGCTGATTGAGTTTCCAAATACATGAAATGAAAGTGTTCTTCTCTGGAGAGCTGCTGGCGACCCATTTGTACACCTTGTCAAAATGTAGGTCAAATTCAGGATTTTCCTAAAACCAGGCAAGAAACAAAGCCATGTTACGGAAGACTGTGGACTCTTTTAGTACTAATGGTACACAAGATGCTGCCCATGTGACACAGAAATGATATGGCCTCTATCCAAATAAAGAGAATAAAGGTTTAATACTTGCATAGGGAAGTCAATAAAAGGCTGGTGATTAGAATTCTTAGACAAGCTTCTTACAAGCAGCAAATTCAGACATGTTGTTATTGAGAAGAAAGTTTCTAAGTAAAGTTTGCTCGTTATCCAGCCGAAATGCCTCATTTTGTACATGGAAGCAAAGAAAACAACTCTCTGACCTAAAGTCCCTCCAAAAGAGAGTATCTTCTGAACAGATTACATATGAACCCAGATATGAAAACAGATTACATATGAACCCAGAAAAATTACATATGAAGCCACAGAGGGACTGTGGCTCACTGGCAGAGCATCTGCTTGGCATGCAGAAGGTTGCAGGTTCAATCCCTGACATCTCCAGTTAAAGGATCTGGCAGTAGGTGATGGGAAAGATCTCAGATCCTGGAGAGCTGCTGCCAGTCTGAGTAGACAATACTGACTTTGATGGACCAAGAGTCTGATTCAGTATAAGGCAGCTTCATGTGTTCATGTATCCTATATACACTCAATCGTGAGTCCCACTAAGCTCCAGGAGACCTATTTCTCCAAGTAAACCCACCAAGGATTGCAACCCAGACCCTGAAGCTAACTGGCAATTTCAAAGCCTCAGCAGAATGAAGACGTTGCAAAACAGGCCATTACAATGAAGACATACTTTGATGGCATCCTTGGCATCAACAACCACAAGATCTCGAAGTGCCCACACAGTCTGCCTCTTGTAGAAATCTCCTTTATCAGACTTTTTCACCTTTACTACATTCACCTGCACCGGGCGTTCAGTCGTCACTGTAAAGAACAGTACATAATTAATTTCTAGAGGAAGACACTGATATACAGATTGACTTTCCTCCTTGCTGCAATTGAGAAATCATCTACTTTAAAACAGATTCCCAAACTCTCCAGCCCTACAAGTTTTAAATTGGGCTATGATCAGATAGAAGACCACAGGCTTCAAATACCACTTCAGATGTACTAAGATTTCAGCGGGACGTAGATGGCATTTGTAAGAAGCCTCCACGTAACAAGAAGAAGAAGAGGAGATTGGATTTATACCCCGCCCTTCACTACCCAAAGGTGTCTCAGAGCGGCTTACAAACTCCTTTCCCTCTTCCTCCCCACAACAGACACCCTGTGAGGTAGGTAGGGCTGAGAGAGCTCTTGACAGAAACTGCTCTTTTTCAAGAACAGCTCTTATCAGAACTATGGCTTGCCCAAGGTCATCCAGCCAGGTGCAAGTGGAGGAGTGGGGAATCAAACCCAGTTCTCCCGGATTATAGTCCGTGCACTTAACCACTATACCAAACTACACAAATGGGGCTTAAAAAATTCCAGGCATGCAAAATGTTGGTATCTAAGAAATATGGCACTTTCTGCTATCTCAGAGGAAGGCTTGCAAGTTTTGCAGAGCAATATCCACAGTCATATTCAACTTCCAGCTTTCCTCAACAGTCCATAAATGCAAAGTTGCTCATCTGGTTTCGCTTGACAAGAATCTCTTCTCCAGGTAGTAGTGGTGAAGTATACACTTGGGTTTCGGGTGTTACCCTAAACCACCATTTATGCGTGGCCTTAAATGATGACATTCTACGTCAGCTTTCACAGGAGAGCCTTTGAACTGAAAATATAAAATAAGCTATTGTACACAGGTAGCCATATACTTTCCCCCTCAAATTAGGATATTATTTTATATTGCGCCATCAATGTGGATAGCATTTATGGAGTGTTCCCTGTGCAGTGCAAGAGGACAGATCCACTGTAAGCTTTAGAAACAAATTAATCTCAGTGAAAATTATAGTCAGAAGGACTGTACGAAAATACTTGCCCAAGCTTCAAAAACTCATACCTGTGGCACACAAGAAGCAGTTTCTCTTCTTTTTTCCTGCTTTGCAAACATTAACAATGCTCAATAAGCGTTCATCATTTGGAGTGAAAATGTCCCTCTGTAAGGCATGCTTGATTGCAGTCATTTTCTCTGAGCGGTAAAGATTTTGGATACTGCTCAGATATTTTGCTTGTCTGGTTCACTTACAAGACACTCTGAACTCCTGGTAATCAAAGAAAGAAATGTTCAGATGTACATACCTTACTCTGAAATGCAAAGACATCCATTAACATAAAGTGCAATTGAACTGAATGAACACTAAGTTTTTAGAGGAATACCAACAGTTCATATTTTAAGTGTTTTCTCAAGAGACATAACATACGGGAGATATCAGCTTAAAATGCTAAGTGGGGTACTGCATAAAGGACTCTCTCACATACTATAGAGTTGCAGCCAGACAGTGTTTTCACTCAATTTCACCCAGTTTCTTTCCTTACAACAGCACCATGCAGCTTTTGCCTACACAACACCCAGGATTCCCAGCATAGCCTTTTCGTTGCTCAACGGGAATCCTAGCCTCCCCTTTTCTACCAGTGGAAAAATCTTTACTATATAAACCCACAACTCTAATCACTCAGAATAGCAATCACAACTGAGTCAGTTGTTACATGATTACATCACATTGCCTATATCAAAATCTGCTACATTTAAAAGAAAATGAACCAGGCTTAAGTGTGAACAGAGCACTTTACAATGTCAAGGTAGCCAAAGATTTTAAAGTCTACATATCAGAACATCCAGGTCATGGGAGAGCAAGTAGAAGCATACATGTGGCATTGAGAATGTTTTGAAACACTCAACCATCACTTACCAGACTCTAAAAAACCACAGTAAGGAACAGTTATTAACCAGTCCTTTTTGACCATGTGCCAATTTCAACCTAATTCAGAGGTTGTTTTCCTAGCCAGGTACACAACCTGTATGGCTACCTGGCATCAGGATTTGACAGAGTTAAAAGCTGACTTTCTTGATCACATTGGTCTTTTTAAAACCTATTAATTTTCAATTGGAATTAATACATTTGTTATTACTTTATTTGTATGTGGCAATATATGAGGATAAGTTCAAAAGGGGGGGGCCTCTACATTATTTTCGGATAACATTGCACTGCAGTTCTACAGAAGAGTAAGCCCTATTCAGCCCAGGATTGTGTGATTACAGTATCAGACAAGGTTCTGGGATACTTGGGTTCAAATCCCAACACACCAAAAAGTTCACTGAGTGATCTTGGCCCAGTGACATACTCTCAGCCTAACTCACCTCACAAGATTCTTAGAACATAAGAACATAGGAGGTGTCCTCCTGGATCAGACCAGTAGTCCAGAATCCTGTTTTGCACAGCAGCCAAGTTGCCCTGAAGTGCCAACGACAGAGCACAGAAACCAAGTTCTCCATTGATGTTGACTTCTAGCACTGATATTCAAAGGTTTACAGCCTGAACATGGAAGTTTCCTTTAGTTATCTTGGCTAGTAACCATTGATGCACCTATCCTCCATGAATCTGTCTAATCCTCTGGTAAAGCCATATATACCAGCAGCTATCACTACATCCACTCTCAGTGAGTTCCACAATTTAATTAGTCATTGAGTAAAGAACTTATTTCATTTTGTACATCCTGAATCTACCACCTATCAATTTCACTGAGCGCCCGCAAGTTCTAGTATTATGGAAGAGTTCTCTGTATCCTCTTTCTCCATCCCATACATATTTTCATAAACCTTAATCCCCCTGGTCTTCTTTTTTCTCCCTTTAATATGAAATAAGAACAGGAGAACCACATATGTATAACAATGTGCTGGGCAGCGATAATGAACATAGGGCTTGCTTCCAAGTGAAGGGGAACACAACTGAGCCATGCAGGAAAGGCTGCCTCAGAAACCCAAACCAAAATAAAAGACCGATGGCGTCTTATAAACTGACAACATTTATTTCAATACAAGCTGGTGTGAGCCACAGTGCCCTTCTTCAGATCTATGAGAAGAAATCATACTGGGAATTCTTTTAATGGAGAACATTACAAAGGGGATGGGGTTAGATCAGAGAGTGAATCTTTGAAGCACAAATTTTGTGGGTCACACACTTTGAAGTCTTGTGGAGTACAATTAGCAGTTCTTCTAAATAACAATGAAAGTATTGGTTTGAACAGAGAACCACGGTGATAATTTTAAGTGACAATTCTAGGTGATGTTAACACCATTTGCACTCAGAGACCCAGGCTTCCACAGAAGCAGGAAAAAAATAAGGCTCTTGAGGATGCCCCCACAAGGGTGTATAGAAAGAGGGGAGGCTGAAAAATATATTGCGTAATACTTGTAAAGTCTGAAAGTAGTAACGTTAACTAGTCTCTGTAACAAACCCACCAATTACTGAATGTGTGCGTATATATCATTTTGTTGTTGTTGTTATAATAAAATTGAAATGGGGGGGGGGGGGGAGAGAAAGAAAGAGAGGCACTGGAAACCCAACGAGCAACCCTCAATGGGACAGTCACCACCAAGGCTCCAAAATCTCAAGCCCGCACCCACTCCGGGGACTGACAGCCGCTTCCCACTCCTTACCATAAAAGCTTGCGCCGCTGCCGGACCGACCGAAGTCCCTTCTCCACCCCACTCCTCCACAGCTGACACTGAGGGCCGAGCTTTCCTGCCCCGCCCTCTCCGCACTTCCTTGCTTCCGTTCACGTGACAGAACCGGAACAATACGGAGATCGAAAGTGGAGTTCCACTGCGGGTAGCCGATTACAAGAGGCGAGAAGAAAAGTTTTGACTAGGGGAAGTGCGTCCCCTAGAGGGCGGGAGGGGGAGCTTCTTTTTGCTGTCGCTCATTTAGGCGTCGGGGGACCGGTGAAAAGAAGGCGCTCCCATAAGGGCCAAGGAGAGATGCGGCGTTGTAGTGACAATTTTGTATTCCGTGTTTATGAATCAGGAGCGATCATCAGTTTCTCTCAACGCACCTTGCTTCTCTGCTCCGTTTAGCAGACGTATTGCAGACAGAAATTAATAGGTGTAATTCCCCCCCCCTCCATGCCCCATCACGGCCAAGATAGAAAATCCACCTCTCGCGTGTGATAACGGGAGGTCATTCCGGCTCCCCCACCCCTCGTAAGGGGCTCTTTAAAGAGATATGGCCACCGCTGCACAAAGTGCACACGCTACTTCTATTATCCACTTTATTCTTTTCCCACCTGCTATCATCCCTCCTGGCTCTTTAAAGAGCGTCTCTCCCGCCCTTCTGGAGGCAAAACCACTCCTTGCGCCAAGGCCGCTGGGAGGCGAGGAGCACAGTTTGCTCTTGGGAGCTCAGGGACGCCCCGAGCCGGCAGGGGCAGCCGGAGGAGCCGAGGGGAGGCGGGGGAAGTTTTCCGGGGGGGCGCGGGCGCGGGGCGCCGGCGCCACCGGCAGATCTCTTTAAATGTCCCCTCCCCGGGCCCCCTGGCGCCAAAACCACTTCTCGCGCCTCGTCTCCCAGCGACAAGGTCGAGGCGCGAGAAGCATATTTGGCCCCCAGGAACTCAGGGGCAGCCGGAGGAGTCGAGGGGAGGCGGGGAAAGTTTTCCTGACGGACCGCGGGGGGGGGCGCCGGCGCCACCGGCAGATCTCTTTAAATGTTCCCTCCCCAGCCCCGCTGGCGCCAAAACCACTTCTCGCGCCTCATCTCCCCCCCCCGTCCGCCAGGAAAACTTTCTCCGCCTCCCCTCGACTCCTCCGGCTGCTCCTCCGGCTGACGAGGCGCGAGAAGCATATTTGGCCCCCAGGAACTCAGGGGCAGCCGGAGGAGTCGAGGGGGAACCGTTGCAGGCGTCAAACCCGGGAGCTTGTAAATGGCTACTGCCCTTGGTTGACACTTGACTTCCCTAATTACGCCTTCCCTAAATCAGAGTAAGAGGAAACCTGTGCTGAGCCACCAATGCTGGTGGTTGTTTTCTTAAAAACAGATTTAATGATGAGAAGAACGGAGGGGTAGCGAGGGAGGCCAGAAGCCATAAACATGAGGGGAAATGTTTACAAGTGTGTTTATCACCTCGACCATGGCTTCCAAACCGCAAACTCTTGAATGGCTTCCTCTCTGTTTATGAGGCGGAGAAGAGGTAACAGGTTTTTACAGCTGGCACTTTGATCGGATGGCCTTAGTTGTACCACATCCCTGGCCTCCCTCTGAATCACCTCCAGAGATGAATGTTTTAGAAACTGACATTACGACCAAGAGTTTGTTGCTTCATTTGAGTTGAATTCTTTTTGGTTGCTGCTAGAAGAAGAAGAAGAAGAAGAAGAAGAAGAAGAAGAAGAAGAAGAAGAAGAAGAAGAAGAAGAAGAAGAAGAAGAAGAAGAAGAAGAAGAAGAA